GCCCCCACGAGGACACTGCCTCCGGGACTCCACCCCCCCCAGGACACCACCGCCCATGAGACCACCCCTAGGACAATGCCTCCCAAGGACACCGCCTCTGAGGACACTGTCGCTCGCACACACTCCGCAGCCTCAGTTCTCTCTCTACTTCCTAAGCCCACTCGGAACCTGAGTCTCAGTTTTCGCTCCCTGTCCCTGTTTCAGCATCTGTGATGTGATGCAAACATCTGCCTCACACTGCTGTCCTTCAAACAGAGGCTACGGGGCACGTGCCCACACATCTGTCACACCTGTCACACCTGCTCACACCTGTCACACCTGGCGCCCTGCTCATACCTGTCACACCTGGCGCCCTGCTCACACCTGTCACACCTGGCGCCCTGCTCATACCTGTCACACCTGGCGCCCTGCTCACACCTGTCACACCTGGCACCCTGCTCACACCTGTCACACCTGGCGCCCTGCTCACACCTGTCACACCTGGCACCCTGCCCACACCTGTCACGCCTGGCACATAACAGACACAGCAAAGGGGACATAAGAGCCCAATGTATAACAAGATGGAATCTTAGACATTAAGCTAGAAAAACCAGCCTCAGCAACACTGTCTCCTCATGCATCTCATATGAGTATAATCCTGAAACATTTTCTACTTTAGTATCCAGAATAAAGAGGAAATGCCGCTCACTGTGTACACCTGACACCTGGGAGCATCCACTGAGGTGCAGCTGTGGTGCCCACGGTGGATAAACAGGGTCAGCAGAGAGCTTGGGGGGGGGGTTTCTCACCCCAGCACTGTTTGTATTTTGACCTGGATAATTCTATGTTGCGGGTTCTGTCCTGGGCATTGCAGTGTGTTTTGGAAGGATCTCTGGGCTATACCCACTAGATGCCAATAGCACCCCTCCCCATAGACAATAAAAAATGTAGACAGACATTGCCAAGTGTCCCCTGGGGGAAACCATGCCCGGTTGAAAGCCACTGGCTTAGAGCACCCAGTGTTTTCTCCATTCAGGACAAGCCCATGCTCTCCAGGTTGGCCCCTCCTCAGCCACACTTGTCCCCCAGCTGACAGCTCACATGCTGGACTCACGCGTCCTCAAAACAGCATCCCCAATCCCAGACCTCCTGGCACCTTCTCTCTCGCAACATCCTTTCCATTCTTACCCAACTCCTTCTCACCCTTTAGACCTCAGTTAAAGTCCTTCCTCCACGAACCCCCCCGGGACTGTTCCAGACACTGGTTTACCCAACGATGTCACCCACCTCTGACAGCTTCCCTGGCAAGGAGCCACACCCCGGCTTTCCTCTCCATTCCTGGACTCCCCTCTTCAACCCCCATGGCCCCGGCTGCCTCCCATCCCATCTCTTCATTAACTGTCACCCAGGACCCTCACTGGGGAGCTTCCAGCTCCACACTTAACTATCATTTCTGTGCCACTTACTTAAATAACTTCTCTTCACACCTTGAGTCTCTTTCCTAAATTCCAGACATGTATGTCCAACTTACTTATTTTACGTTTTTCTATCAATCTCACTCCATGAGAACGGGCTCCATTATAACAAGAGTTAGTCTGGTTACTGAAGGGCCATCAGAGCCCAGACAGCGTCAGCACGCGAGAGGCCCGTACCCATCACGGTGGGAGGAGCGAGGAGTGAACAGACCTCACATTCTCAGATCACCTTACAAAGCAAAAGTGCAGGCAAAGAACAGGCAGTGAGGGGACCCCATGATGCTCACGGTTCAACAGCTAAGTACCGGCAGATGCAGAAAATACCAAATGCCTGGAATTAATGAGCAGAATTAACCAAAGACTATGTCACTCATAATCATTACAAGTGAGGCTTGGCAGTCGGGTACACAATGAACAAGGAGTGTCCGGGAGCAGCTCTGCCCCTGCCCACTGCTCGCTGCTCTGAGCTGGGGGAGGGGTCTCTCCCACAGGGGGCCCAGAAAGTCCTCCAGAGAGAGCTGGTGAGACAGCTGGTGCCTGGGCCTGACCCGCACCCAGGCCTCCCGAGACTTGAACACTCAGATTCCCTGCACCACTGACAGAATCAGCCTCTGGGAGTAACATCTGCAGACAGCCACTTAAAGAACCATTAGCATTAATGTCTCAGGACTGCGGGTCTCAAACAGTGCTTGAATCGATTAGCAGTGAACCTGTGGGAGGAAGAAATCTTATTTTGACTGTACATTCTTGCATCCTGTTGGGATTGTTTTACCGTATGCACTTCTTATTAAGAAAGAATCAGGGTGACATGTTTCTCTCCAAATCTGTCTTCTTATGAATGTAACGGGGGCCACAGTAAATGGGTGGCATCACTATTGCAGCTGGCCCCTCTTTACTTAACGACTAACAGCAGGCAGGCCCCTGCCACCTGTCTGGCTCCGCTCTGTTTGCAACCCCCCTATGGGCAGAGGGTTCAATTTGGACAATCTACCTGGCTCTGGCCTAGCACATCTCGAGGGCCAACTCTGGCTCTCAGGTTTCCACACCAACACCCAGGTGGGCCTGGAATGCCTTGCTCGCCAGGACCTGCTCAGTTGACATGTCTGTGGCTAAGACCATCCAGCTGACTCCTTTCACTAATTCCTCCTGACCAAGACTTTTGGGCTACATTTCCGCTTCCCACGTAGAGTTCTGCCACAGGGAAAGGAATGTGTGGACTTGTTGCACGAGCTCTTAATGAGCAGGATGTTGCTATTCTGACTCACACATCGAACTCTCAGGAGCCTGGTTAATGTGAGTCTGTCCTCAAGAGAATGAGTCATTTTTAGTTTCTATTGTAAAGTTGAAGAAACTACCCCGGGATGGGGCTAAATTACTAAAGACAGTGTGTGATCTTTTCAAATCTCTTTCCACCATCTTGCCTCACCTGGGCACATCGCTGTCCCTGCTCACCTGCGTTCTGCGACAGCCCTAAGGGTTTTGAGGAAGGGGTTCCACCATAATCCAGTAACAAACTGATGGCCCTGCTGAAAAGATAGGCAGAGTCCTGTGGATCTGATTCTCGAGGCTCAATAAAATGCCAATGTACAGAGAGTAAAATGCACAGCTCACCTGTGGGATTTTGATGCTGGTTTCCCCACCCTTACCCCCACTCCCTGGTTCTCCCAGAACTGGCAGATAGCTGGCCTGGGTGGAATGAGGCCGAGTGTGAACACCCACTCACAGGGGCTGCCAGCTCAGCTGTCAAATTAGCATTCTGCTCCGGAAAATGGAAATCCTTCCATCCCCTGGCCTTCTCCCAGCATCCGCTCAAACCTGGGTAACAAGAGCCAGAGAATGGAAAGAAGTAATTCTGAAGAACAAAAAATATACTTTGCTTAAAGAATCTGGTAATAAGGAAAGAGGGTGTCTGGTGCCACACAAACCAGGAAGAGTAGCTGTCAGTCCTCGGGATCTACGGTTCTGTGCCCCCCCGTGCACCTCCTGAGCTGCTTCACCTGGGGGGAGCCACTATCCATGTTGCCTGTAGGGAACATGAGGACGACCAGCGTCTGGTAGGTTGGTGAAGATTCTTATAAGATCTTTATCTCGGAGGGAAAAAAAAAGTGACAGAAGGAGTGAGAAAGCGTGAACTAGAGAGAGAAGATTATTTGCTGGGAAGGCAGGGTAAGGTGAGTGATTCGGACCCATTACCTCACAGCTACGACCCTGGGACTGGACTTTCTATCTCAAGCACCTGGAAAGCTTTTCCCAGAGCACACAGGTCGTGCTATCTCCCCTGCAGTTTCTGGTTCCAGGGCCCAGGGTGGATTTAAGAGCTGCCCTGTGACTCCTGTGTACCCAGGTGAAAATCCCTCCTTGCAAGATGGGTGCCCATTTAATATGCCCAGTCAGTTCCTCTGGCTCTCCAGCTACAATACACTTTTGCCCTTAGACTTTAGGTCATATTTCACTCTCTCCTCCTACAATCCTCCAGACAAGCTTCAAATTCTATCAGGATGCTGTTGTTTTAATGAGATTCCAGGGCTAAAAACACCATCCTCTTAAATAACTAAGTACACAGGAAAGAAAGAAATGCAAATATCGCCCAAGTCTGAGAAACTGTGGCGACAGTGCCCCCTGCTGTGCATTATGAAGCACTTCAGGGTGAATCCTGTCCCTGCGAAAACTTGTGATGTCCCTTCAGACCCCAAGAAACAAACAACCTGAAACAACAGGCAATGGAAGCTCAGGATGATGTACCTACAATGTGACACAAGTGAGGAAATCCAGCTCAGGGCTATGCTGGACTTCAGCCTGTGAAAGAAAACGCGAAGGAGACAGGCTTAAAGCAGGTGTTCTCCTTTGAGAACTGAATTAAAGAAACTAAGCCAGTCACTTCCCAGGCCACGCTGCTCCCTGCTGGTCGCTTTTCATAAGCATGACGGTAAACACGGTTTCCTTTCCAAAACCTCACTGCGCAGACATTAGCAAGATGCAAAAAAATAGAGCCTTTAGACCG